AAGGACACGCTGTGGAAGGCTTACAACTTCCATTAGTCCTTGAGAAGCTCATGTGTATAGCAGTAAGATGAAATGTATGAAAGGAAAAAGTAGAGCTGGGCTGAAAAATTGCGGAGCCCAAGGCTATACCGATTCATTATTATTACTGTAATTGCATTTCAGCTGCTTGGAAAATATAATGGCCAATTTCCACAACTTTGCAATTTAGTACTATGGTTATATCTTTTTTTTAGATTACACTGACATTTTCCTCTGGTCACTTTGTAACTCACTCATTTTATTTCTGTTTTTTAAATGTGTTTAGAATTGACGGTCCTTCAGGGTTTCCTGCGCCCTCAGACCTGAGTGGAAGCAGCGCGCGGGCAGGCTGCTGTCTTGAAACCCTCCGTGCTGTCCTTCTGGAGCAAGGGAGGGCACAGCAGGTGAGCCTGGCCTGGTCGGCATGCGGGAAGCAGCTAGCTTGGCCCCAGAGCCACTGAGACTGCTGTGCGAACAGGAGGCGAACAGCGCGGAAGGGAAGCAGATATTCTAACTACCCCCAGGCTGTCATTTGGGACTTTCAGGCAGAATTTGAGAAAACACAGGGACCATGGGAGCCCTGGTGCTGTGCAGGGAGCCGAGTGCCCCATCGTGACAGACAGGCAAAGAAACCAGAGCGACCTCCAGCAGCATGTTCCTGGGGCCACTCCAGCTGTTCCGTCCTGCTCTTGGTGCTTCTTGTGCTGCTGGAAACGAAAAGGCTGCCTTGGTGTCTTATCGTGAGCCGAGCCAGGAGTGTCCTTACCGCACAGATAGCACCGGGGAGATAGCTGGTGTCCGGCTGTCAGAACACGGACAGCGCTCCTGGAGCCAGGGCACTCCTCCCAGCCTTTGACTTGTGACATCTGGTAAAGCACACGGTTAGTCAGCACTGAACCACTCCCTCCCGTCCATGAACCGCACCAGAGAAGGATCCTTTTAACCAAAGCTCCTTCTCCAAAAGCTTTTGGCTGGAGAAGTTCTCCACTTCGGATCTGATCCAAAGCCCGCTGGATCCAGACTGCTCTGGATTGGACCTTGAAAGCAGGGTTTTTCAGCAGACCTCAGCAGCCTGCGAGCTGTTTTAATGCTTTGCCCTGCCCGTGCGAGAGGGCCAGCAGTTACCCTGCGCCCTGGGATTGGAGAGCTGGGATCTGCGCTAAGATTGCAGATTTGACTTGTACTGTCGGGAACTACTGAAGGTCTCTGGTGTGTTCTACACAGGTGAACAGATGCACGTTTTGGTTGGCTTCTTCATTTTCTATTCATTTCCCAGATTGAATTTAATTTTTGTACAAATACATATAATTATCTAACTACATAGTTAATATCACCCATGTTTTGGGCAGAGGCTTCAGTCGTTCACAGTGCTTTAGGAAATCAAACGTGTAACACACAATTGGTAAGGTAACAAAAAAAAAAAAGAGGAACAGCAGCTTGACGGCAGATTCGAAGCCCACTGAGTCACTTGGAGCCTTGCCACCGCTGCTCTGGCGGAAGGTTGGCAAAGGGGGAGAATAAGCAGGCGCCTTTGCAGAGGAATCGTGTTTCAGTTGCCAAGAGCTCTCCTCTGCTCAGCAATCGGAGCAAGCCTCGGAGCGGACATCGCTACTGGAGTTTTGCTCCGGTGGGTTGTTTGCACAGCGCGTGGTGCTGCAGCCCCAGTCCGAGGGCTGACGTGTGTAGGTGCTGTCTGAGAAAGAGAGATAATAAATAATGCATTGAAGAATGAGACATTCCAAAGGTGTGGCGAAAGAATGGTGAAAATCGCAGGTTGCGGACAACCCATCGCGACATTTAACGTGCAAATCAACAGTACCCTACCAGATGTGAAAACGACACAGCCTTTCCGTGCTGCCCTCTGCTCGGCGTTGGCATGTCAGTGAGGACGTGTTGGCCGGGATGGCGCGGGGAGGAGCAGGGAGCTGGAGGCTTCCTCCACGGAGCTGCCGGAGAGCCATGAGCACCCCAACGCCGGCGCACGCAGCTGGACCCTGGGAGCTCGCAATACCGACCATCCCACATCTGCGAGGACTGGGGGAGCAGCTGCTGTAACCTCGTTACAGCCCATTCCCAATTAGCCACGAGAGAGGACGCGGGGGTGTCTAACTTGGGCTACTTTACCCGCTGAACCCAGACTCCGGCCTAGGCGAGGAGGAGTTCCGCATGGTCAGGGCAGAGGAGCGAGACCATTCGCAGCACCGAAGTTAGTGATGGTCCAACGCGTCCATCCCCGCCTGCACCCCGCTGTGCTCCCGCAGCCCGGGGAACGCCGGGGTGCAGGCGTCACCGAGCTGACCCGTCACCAACCTGACCCGTCTGCTGCCGGTGACCGGCACAGGAATTGTACTGGGCCTGCGGCACCGGACGGCGGCATGCAGCCATCTCCCGGACGGGGAACCCGGGGGC